CATAATATATTTGTTTTTATCTTCGAGGCAGAAAGTGAGAACTTCACTTGTATTACACACCTTACCTCATTTAGGATTGTTAGATTATTACCTTTACTGTTGAATTTTCCTTTATTNGGATGTGAAAGTAATGATGCTGATTCAGAAAAATCTGAATATTTCATGGTGATCACTGTGAATTTAAACCCAAGCTATCTATTTTACATTCATTGATGAATTGGGGTTTCTTCGGATGCAAGAATTTAAGTCCTGAGATTTTCTGCTGAAAAAAGATGTCCCTCCTTCCAGGTGTGAAAAATTCCTGAAATTAGTGTGAGGGGTTACTGGCGATTTTGACGAGAAGTCCTGGGATTTCTATCCGATTGCTGATCACTTTGGGTGAAAATAAAAAAAACTGTAAGTTTTCAAATTCAATTCAAATTTTTGCTTCATCGTTCGGGAAGCCCCACTCTGCCGCTGAATTCAGACTCGAGCAAGAGACCTGTCTCTTGGTTGAACAAATCTCCGGTTCATAGGTCGAAATATAACCAATCTTTCCTAATTATCTATATCTGTGTAGATTGGTTACAGACTTCGAGTGAATTAAGGTTATAATGCCATTTCCTGATTTAAATGATTTAGTGAATTTTTAGTGGTCATATTTTGTACAAAACATTGTTTTCTTTCCTAAGACACTTTCAGTGGTGATTTCAAAATTGATTATTTTGTATAAGATTATTTATTTGCTTATATATGTTGACTCTTGAATTCAAGGTTAATTTTTTATATAAATCATTGATGCATCAATACAAGAGTAGTATATCTAAGAGTAATTGTTCTGAATATTATTCAATGTATCTATGAATGAATTATTATGTGAAACCGTTTTACATTTACATCACCTGTTATCATAATTATATTCAGTGGAGTGCAAAACATTTATATCCCTAGAATCCTGTTTCATAACCATTCACATGTGAGCAATCCTGCCTCTCGAAGAAGTGTTCAGTCCCACACTGATCAACTGAACTCAACTAGGGAACAACAACCTTTAACAACGTCTCTGCTTGGAGACATGATGGAGTAAACAGGTGAAACCATCATACTAACAGGGTCAATCTTTGTATTTTTTTTGTAAATTCGTAAATATATATATTAATTTTTGTGAATAAATATGATTTCCTTGCTCACGTGATCACAGAAGGAAGGAAGGAAAAAAGCTGGCGCCCAGCCATTCAAATATTTTTTAACATTCATATTTTTACTTGCTTGACATATTAAAAATCAGAAACTAGCAGAGTTGTCCAAAGAACTCACACCGTTCTCTACTGACTAGCCCTGACTACGTTACATATTTTGGCATCCAACGTGGGGCGCCAAAATATGTAACGTAGTAACGGTGGTTGTTACCTAGTTGAGTTCAGTTGATCAGTGTGGGACTGAACACTTCCTTGAGAGACAGGGTTGCTCACATGAGAATGGTTATGAAACATGATTTCAGGGATATAAATGTTTTGCACTTCACTGAATATAACTATGATAACAGGTAATGTAAATGTGAAACGGTTTCACATAAATATTTATTCATAGATACATTGAATAATATTCACAACAATTACTCTTAGTTATACTACTCTTGTATTGATGCATCAATGGTTTATATAAAAAAACTAACCTTGAATTCAGGAGTCAACATATATAAGCAAATAAATAATTCTATACAAAAATAATTAACCTTGAAATCACCACTGAATGTGTCTTAGGAAACAAAACAATGTTTTGTACAAAAAATGACCACTAAAAATTCACTGAATCATTTAAATTAGGAAATGGGATTATAACCTTAATTCACATGAAGTCTGTAACCAATCTACAAAGATATTTAAAATGAGGAAAGATTGGTTATATCTCGATCTATGAACCAGAGATTTGTTCAACCAAGAAACGGGTCCCTTGCTCGAGTCTGAATTCAGCGGCAGAGTGGAGCTTCCCGAACGATGAAGCAAAAATTTGGATTGTGACTTACAGTTTATTTTTATTTTCAACCACTGTGATCAGCAATCGGATAGAAATCCCAGGACTTCTCGTCAAAATCGCCAGTAACCCCTCATACTAATTTCAGAGATATTTCACACCTGGAAGGAGGGACATCTTTTCTCAGCAGAAAATCTCAGGACTTTAATTCTTGCATCCGAGGAAACCCAAATTCATCAACGAATGTGAAATAGATAGCTTGGGTTCACATTCACAGTGATCACCATGAAATATTCAGATTTTTCTGAATCAGCATCATTACTTCCATATTTGAAAAAAACTAAAATTCTAAGATATCGAGCTCTACCTTCTCAACTCTACGAGAGACTTCTCCCTCTCTTGAAAATTCCTGTTTCATCTTCTCTCCTTACCTATCTTCACGTTACTAGTGAACCAAAGATGACTTATGATAGGAGGAACACTTGCCAATACTGGTTACATGGAATTCATAGATGTCACATTTTATCATGAATACAATGAAATGAGGTTACGAATATATCGTTACATCTTCTTGCTGAAATGATTCAATAAATCATTTGAGTGTGTCAATTACCCAAACCGTTCCTTAAAATGACCCACTAGATAACCTGATATGATGCTTACAAATATTTGAGAAAATCCGTGATATCTGAAGAAATCGTGGATAGAAAAACAGTTGCTTTCAACAAAATTACCCCCGGAACATTTCACTATGATGAAAAAATAAATTTGTAATCTCAATTTTGAACATTTTGAATATAAAATGGAATGAACTGAAATTAGTTTTCATTATTTCTCTTGAAATTGTGATATTCAAATTCAAAATATTCTCCTTTATCCGAAGAATAAATTCTTATTGACAAAGCCTTGTGAGAAATAGTTAGTCATTCGTACTCAATTGAAATTATCATCATAGAATTCTGTTAAGCTATATTAAGGCCCACAGAAAGCAAGTCTTTCAACTCTTTCTTAAGAGCGCTAAAGTCATTTGTGGTTCTTATAGCTTGAGGAAGGTGATTGAACATTTTGAGACCGTTGTATTTCAATATGTTTGCTGAATTTTAAATTATTATCTATGAACAAGCCAAGAAATTTAGAAGTTGTTACATTGTCGATTTGAATATTTTTCAGTTGTGAATAGCAACGATAGGAGACCAATTTTGTTTTTGATTGATTCAAGCTCAAGACAGTTGAGTCAAACTAGTCTTTCACTTTCATGATATTACTCCCAACAAATTCATACAACGTATGGTTGTTGGGGGCGTGCCATAAAATTGTGGTATCATCAGGGAGTGAAGTAAATTTACCTTGACGATAAGTCAATAATGTACAAGAATAAAAGTGGGTCCAGAACAGAACCTTTTGGGACGCTGCAAGTAATTTTACCTTCATTTGAGTATTTAGTGGTCTTGATCATCTGGATGCGATCTGCTAAGTATGACTCAGACCACTTGAGACTCATTTTATTTATGCCGTGTCTACTGAGTTTCCGTAAAAGAATTCAATTTTTCACGCAATTAAATGCTTTGGCTATATTACAGAAGACTGCAGCCACTGTGTTTTTGTCCTTTATGTTGGAATAAACATTGTATAATGATTATAATAATATATAATGTATATAATAAACTTGCAATAACTTATTATTTTGTTTTCATTCAGAAAGTAAAGGAGTATTGTTTCAGCTAATAATTTTATCAATTTAGCCATTGCAGAGATTGGAGAAATTGGACGAAGACTCGATGGACCATTGATGACTTCACCCTTTGACAGTACCAACACAATCGACCTCTTAAAAAAACTGGGAAGATTCCTTCTCTAAATGAATTATGTACTCGTATTAGACCAACTAATATATCGAGTATTCTTATTGGAATATTTTTTAGAATTTTTATCGAGATTTCATCTAGATCTGTGGAGTCTTTATTTTTTATGGAAAATAATATTTCATGCAGTTCGGTAATATTTGTGTCATATAATATTAAGGTGTTCGTAACTTCATTATTCACATAGTCTAGGGGGTCACCTGTGCTTTTATATTTTTCGTCAAGTCTTCGGCAATAGAGCAATAGAAGTCATTTAGTTCAGTAGGAGAATACGAAATGTCTACATTTTTTTGTGTCTCTTGCCAGTTAAATTTATTGGAAGCGTCATCCATTCTACTTTTATAATATTTGCTTTTGGCTAGTTTCATTACTTTTCTGTGAAGGGTGCGATAGCGAAGGACGTAATTAAGAAAAAAACCCTCATGTTTTTTGCCGAAACGCTATTACCTTTTGTTTACCAATTTTTGTGTCTGTGCCTGAAATAATTTTTTTCAACTGAAAAGCTTTCATCAAATATATAAATTATTTCGTTATAAAATTCAAAATTCAAGATGAAAATCAGAGAGTTCTATATGATTCCATTTAGAGCTCAGACACAAGTTAGAGAACTTGTCACAATTAGCAGAACTATAGAATCGTTCTAAATTGAATTTCGATTTATTCACATTCAGATTGGAATACACCTTGTAGTATACCACTTCGTGATCTTACAATCCTGAATAAAGAACATCACAAGAAACTAGCTCGGAGTCTAAGTTTGCACAAAAATAATATAATCTATGGTGGATTTGGTAAATTTAGTAGATTTCACATGCATTTCCAAATGAAATATTTTCAATAAATCAAAAACTGTGTGTGTAAATTTTCTTCTGTTTAATAATTAATATTCAGGTCTCCAGTTGAAATAATTTTTGCTTTTGGAGGTAATTCATATTTATTGCTTATTTGAAGAATCTTGATAAAAGGTCACTCACTCAGGAATGATTGATTTGACTATTTAAAATTGACAGTGATGAGAAGAGATCTGTAATGTCTATTGAACAAGATATCGCGAAACCCTCTTCATACTTCGTCATACCTTGTCATTGTGTGCCGTTTTCTCATAAACATTTTTATAAGGTTCTCCTTGAATCCTGTTTTTTTGCTGTTGTAATCACAAATACTCATATTACTTTTTCATTTCAGAAGTCTTGTGGACTCCTTCAGTTATGTTTTCTCCAAACGCAACACCCGCTGGGATATGGGTTTTCTGTACCCCGGACTAGCTATACGTATATCGCCATCTGTCCACCAAGGTGGCACACTTGAATTCACTCTAGATTCGCATCGTGAATCGCTGAACGTGCATTCACTGAAAGAAGCTGGAACGGGTAAGAAATTAGTTTCAATAGTGGTCGCTAGATGGTACTGCTAGGTAATGTTGAATAAAGAAACTGATACAAACAATAAAAATGTGACTGGAATTTCTCTTAGCTCCTGAAATGATTTAGAACTGAAGATCTAATACACGGTTTCCATTTTTGGGGTCGAAAGTTGTAATTGTGTCAACTGTATGGTACGTGTTTTTTTCGTATAACTGGTTGTTGCGGTGATGAAATCTTATGAGATCTGACCTTGTTATTCGATTGTGTTGAAAAATAACCAAAAAGATGAAATAGCGAAGAAAAAACGTTTTTGTGAAACCATTTTTCTGAAGGTGATTTGTCAACCCATGTGCAAAATTAGAGCTATATCAGAGAGTTTTTCTCCATTAAATTGCACAATGGCACAGAAAAAGAATCAACTTAACATTCATTAAACTTTTCACCTTCAATATGTAGCACCATAATAAATGTGTGCTTGTCTAAATAATCCGAATAGACCTGTTAAATATTGGTCGGATATGATGCAAGTTTCATTTGATTTTGCCTTCATTAAATATCTATTTTTGAAAAAATAGTAGGGATTTGAAAGTAAAACATCCATAATCCACACAAAGAAATTATTTGTGTCGTCACTAAAGTCTGCATAAGGTGGAAAATAATTTACGTTCAAATTCATCTACTTTCAACGATCCAATTTGAAATACTGTCAGTGAAGTTTGTTATAAAGCTATGTCATGAAAAAAATGAATTCAGTCTAAATGGTACGTAGAAATTGTGAATTATGGGTAAAACAGTATTACAGTATCAGAGAAACTGTGAGGAGTAAGAAACCTAAACCTCTTGAAGTTCAGAGCTATGAATTCGCAAAGGCAACTGTCTACCGATTCCACTGAACAGCCATTTTAGCGGTATCTCTCCCTTCACGACCTAGCAACCTCACATAGATAACGGCAGGTTTCTGTAAAAACACTCGGTGTTTTCTATTGGATATTTGAAACTCTTAAGCTATCTTCGGCAACAATTTGATCTTTTCGCTTCTCTTTGTTCTGGGGTTGTATTCCAGTGATGTGTTAGTTCATCAAGTTCACATTTTCGACAGTCTTTTTTTAAGTAGCTCCTCCGGGGTCCTCAGTAAGGTTTCGTTCCGAAGTTATGAGTATGGGATCCTTACAAACTCACATCATAAGGGCATCAGCATCTATATTTTCTTCAAATCCTTTTTGACCTCGCTTTCACAATGAATTTATCCCATGCGTTTCCATGAGATGTTTCTTTCGGAATACTTCTAAGTAAATATCTAGGTAGAATCGAATTGTGTCTCAAATATGGGTTTGAAGTCTCAAATCTGGGCCCAGTCACCTACCAACCATTTCATCCATATTCTATCTGTTGACTTGAATACATTCTGTACGTCCTGACATAGATCCATTGAGATGAGATCCATAATCTTTCTGTTTATACACATACTTTCTGCTTTCTAGTTGGTTGTCATGTTGTCATATCGTCAATGTTGCCCACATGATTCCTGAAATTCATATTTCTCTGATGTTTGATCCGTTTTACCACCATTTAAATGAGGTGGAGTTTGATAATCGTTTGATATGACTATTAGATCAGTTTTGGGTATAACCACATGCTTTTCCAAATATTTATTTTGTTAGTTGATTGTGATCTCAGAAAAATATTTTACTGTAATCATTTGCTAATTTTGTTTTTTTTTTCAGGTAGACTCTTGGCCAGACAATTTCTTTTACCGTTTCTTCTAGGATTTAAGTTCAATGTTGCTAGTTTGATACCAATATTGTTTGGGATACTCGCGTTAATAGCCAAAAAAGCACTCATAATAAGTAAGATAGCACTTATCGTTACCAGTGCTCTCGCGCTAGGTTCTTTACTTCTTGGAAATGATAAGTACCAACAGCATCACTACGCTCCCAATCAATTTGGGCATCCTGGTTATGAGGGTATCCATGGATATAACAGGTAATCAATCAATCTTCTAAATTTTGTACCTCTCGATATCCTTATATATTATGGCAACTGCAAAAAAATAAATGAGCAATTGGTCTTCCAGGAAAAAAATTTGAGAACTATGTGTTTTAAAAAATCTACTGACCCATGCAAAGTCTTATTTTCAGTTTTGAAAATATTAACAATTATATCATGTACATTTCATATTGTGCTACCTACATTGATGTGATGAATTTCAAGATGAAGTTCACAAATTCATTACATTTGGCCATATTTCAATTTCAATCTTTCAGTTCCAAATCATGAATCAACAATTACGTCGAAAGGACCACATGCCATGTCAATTAGATTATATAATTGACTACCGCTATGTATTTGAAAAATATCAAGTCCTAACTTTCTGTATGAAACAATATTTCATTATTTGAATGGATATTTCCCGTAACTCTACTGTGACATTCAATCTTATACATATATACGTATGATCTATTATATTTTCACATTTTCATATTCATTTTGAAAATATTTCCATACTTTATAATGAGGAAATGAAGTATTATTATCATTATTATTGTTCATCGGTTGTTCCAAGAATTCATCAACAGAAAGTGAAATATTCACACTGTTAAAAAAAACTGCCATATATACATAAATTTATTTACTCGTCGTATATGTGTGCAAAAGCAGGCATGAAAAAAATGTCTGATGTGTATAAAATAGTATTTTACCACAAAATTTCAAAGTTGGCTTACCAGACCAACCATTGAAAATTAGTTGAATGTATAAATGATTCATAACCCAATCAATAATCTATAAAGTGTGATAAATACAAAATATATTCTTTATTAAGTAATACCCTCGATTTTATTCGCGTCGTAGGGTATAGCATTCAGGGAATAATACTTTTGTAGTATTCTTTTTTGAAGAATTTTTCAAATTGATTTACAAACCGATTGTAATAAATCTTACATCAAATGTTAAGTGTAACGTATCGCAATACAATAGTGATAACAGCACACGAATCTTTAAAGCTGGTTTTGAGATCAACGTGCACAAACACACAAATAAACATACAAAGCAAAAAGCGATCAGATACACGTTCATTATATACAGGGTGTTTCCTAACCATGGTACGAAACTTCAGACGGTGATTTGTTAGATCGTTTTAAGAAAAATGTTTTATGAACATATGTTTCTGCTTCGTTTCTGAGAAACAGAGCGTAAACAGTAATTGTGAAAAATCATGAATATCTTCACACTGATTTGGTTGCAATCTGTTACAGTTATTTGAAGTAATAAGGCCAAGTAGATTTTCAGTGGGCAACTCAGCCAGCTACATTAGAAAAAAAAGTACGCCACTGATTTGTTGTTGTAGTTTTTTCACTTTTCAGGTTATTCGACTTAAAATAAAACTTTTTCATCGCTTGTGTTTTCTTCATATCTAGCTTTGTTTTCTTGAATAAAAATTGAAGGCACTTTGCATATTCATCATGAACACCTGCTTTGAGACCAGCTGAAAGTGGTAGTTTTGTCATCTGTAAAACTCAGAGTTGTCAATTAGCAGTGTTTCCATCATGAATAAATTTACTAACGCTGATATAGCTGACATGCACTTTATTTATGGATTAGCAAATGAAAATGCGGAAGAAGCACGGATAATTTATCAGGACAGATATCTTAACAGAGTTATTTCATGTACTAAAACATTCAAAACGCTACATGCAATATTATGTGAAACTGGGAGTTTTAATGCAATTGCAGGTGGTGGAAGACTAGAAACTGTAACAATGCCTGAACTAAAAGAAGCTATACTTGATGCGATAGATGAAGATCCTTCAAATGGTATCAGGAAGATTTCACTGCATCTGCATAAAAACTGCATAAAAACCGTATGGACAGTTCTAAAAAGGAACCTCCTATACCTATATGACATACAGCTGGTCCAAGTTCTACTGCGTTGGGATTTCCACCCAAGATCATTGTTTTGCAGGTGGTTGATTCATACGATGACGCACAATAATGAATTTGTACCAAATATTTTATTTACGGACGAAGCAAATTTTTCACGAGATGCTATTATGAACATAATAACCAATTTAGGGCCGATGAAATGCCCCACGTTATTAGAGTAAGTCATTTTCAGCAACCACTTTCGCTGAACGTTTCGGTAGGAATGATTGATGACTACCTCATTGGTCAATTTTTTCTACAAGCAAGATCGACACGGGCTTTTTGCGAGATCATTTACCCATTCTGTTAGAAGAAGTGTCGGTACTTGTGAAAGGTAATATTTGGTTTATGCACAACGGAGCTCTAGCTCATTACAGTATTCTTGGTCGTCAGTATCTACTCTAATCGCTGGATTAAACGTGCAGGACTTCCAAATTGGCCAGCTCGTAGTCCTGATATGAATCCTCTAGATTCCTATTTATGGAGTCATCTGAATTCAGGAATAGAATAATTGATAATTGCAATGTCATAAGAAATATTCCAGGTAATTTTAACGTGTTAGACAGTCAATGACAAATCAATTGCATTCCATTAGAAGATGGACATTTTGCTCATTTACTTTTAGGCGAAATTATTCATTATTTACTTTTGGTTTTTCTTTCATGTTGTTCATGGATAGATGAATCTTGATACGAAGAAACCACAAGCAACGAAAAAGTTGTATTTTCAGTTGCATATCTAAAAAAAATGAAAACTACAAAAAAGTCAGTTTTTTATTTTCTCAATATTGTTGGCTGTGGTGCCCACTGAGACAACACCACTGGACCTCATAATTTCAATCTAGTTAGGTTAGGTTAGGTTAGGTTAGGTTAGGTTAGGTTAGGTTAGGTTAGGTTAGGGCTAAATGAGAGCCTCATTACTTCAAATAACTGTAGCAAATTTCAATGGAATCGGTGTAAGGTTATTCATGATATTTTAATAATACCTTTCAAACCTCAACGTCCTGTATCTCAGAAACGAAGCAACTCCGGACATATGTTCATTAGAACTTAAAACGACGTAACGAATCACCCTCTCAAGTTTCGTATCGAAGTTAGGAAACAACCTATATATTGGTAATTTTGGCACCCTTACAATAAAATTACATTATGTATGAATGGAAATATTTCAATTGTAAATTGTTTGTATATATTGAACTATCGTACGTCATTTCACTAAGTTGTTATTCAAACCAAATCATTCAATGAAAGTATTCAATAGACCAGCTATATCTTTGAAAATTTTAATCAATTGAGTCCATTTTATAAGAAACGCAGTGGATATCTCCCATATAATTATATTTTTAAAGGTATCCAGGAGATGATCATGACGATATCTACTATAGGAGGAACTTTGGAAAACAATCCGACCAACTGAACGTATACCCAAATATTGCAAAATCGTTGGAGGGATCTGAATCTGGAGATAAAACCAGTGGAAGAAATTTTGTATGGGAAGAAAAAGATGAGAAATTACAGATAGGAAATGTCTAACACGTTTTTTGTATGTTGACTCGATAGATTCCCAAATATCTGCAGAAAAAATTGTTTGAGAAACTTTTTTAGGTAGATCTTCGAGTCAGTTGATCCATGATGATAATTAAACAATTTTCACGAATACACTTATTCGCGTTTGGCTGACACCATAGCTTCATCTGTGTGTCCACAGTGTGTGTACTATTACTACCGATGAAGGTATAATGGTAGCGAAACGCTTTTAGAATAAAAATGTTATTTGTGAAAATTGCCTAATTATTTTCATGGATAGTGATTTTCATCAAGTATAGTCACTAGGTAAATAGAACCTCAGAGGTCAATTATTTTATTTGGAATATATTATGCCATATTTGTCAATTTGTCAAATATGAACAGATCCTCATTCACATACAGTGAACAGTTATAAAATAACATTTAGATGTTTCAGTGGTTGATAAGTTGTAAATAAAATATATGAGTATTTTTTTCTATATTTCAGATCCTGTCAAAATTCCTTCTACCGGTATACAGGGCGTCCCAACGAAAACTTGACCCCCCCGGAAGTCAGAAACGGACATGTAATCGAAAATTTCAACGTCAATTTTTATTTCTAGGGGGACTAATTCTGATATGCGGTCATTAACTAAACCCCCTTTTTGTTTCAATTGCATGGGGGGTCGAGTGATACATCATTTGAAAGATCTTTTGTCCCTCTATAACTTCTGTAATTTTTTTCGAAATTGGTTCATTCGTTATTGAGAAATTGAATGAATGGCAACACAATTAACATATAAAGTATTCAAAATAACCTCCATCTAGTTCCATACAATAATACAGTCTCCTTTCGAAATCGGCATTTCCGAACAATTCTCTGTAGCAGGTCTTCTAGATTTGTAGAATTTATTCATTTAGTACTACAGTAGTAAACGTTTTGAAATTGACGACACTGTTAGTTTTTTCCACACTGGTAGTTTTATTTTGAAGCGGCATTTTCGTGTCACGTGAAGTTTTTAGTACTAACCCTGACCACCAGAGGGCAATGTCAGTATTTAATGTTATTCTCAACAGAATTGTGTATCTAGCAGTCGTTGACAACTAGTTGGCCGGATCATATCGAAGTCGTGATGTACGTCAAAATTAATTAAATCAAAAAGCCGACTGAATACTGACCGCCGTGAGGAGCCCCGCTTATATTTGATATTCATGAATTGAGTTTTCCTGTCCATTCCCTTGATGGCGTCTTCGTAAGGGGAGATGTCGTCGACTTCAATCACTCAAGCTTGTCCTTTTAGGATAGTTGAGTCAAGTAACGCATTTATGGTTCAGCCTATCACAACTAATGAGACCTGCTGAGTGTCTGTCAAATATTTGATACATACAAAATTCTTTGAGTATTTTTCATTCATGAAAAATGTACAGTCTTTCGGTAACATTGAGTTGGTTGTAATATCAAAAACTGAAGGATACTAATATGGACAATATTATTCAGGTATGTAAAACATGTACTACTTCTACTATAAATATATATTGACTCTGAAAAATGTTAGAAATGAGGGATGGCAATTCCATGAATGAAAATGATGTACAGCTTGTCAAATCTAGAAGCGACTTGTAACATATCACCAGACTACTAACAGAGAACGCATGGTTATAAAAATATGAAATCTACCGTACAACTTGTTGCGCCTATTTGAGTTTTTGACTGACCTGAGAGGATAGTCCTCGCTGCAAATAGCAGTAGCAAGTTTTTTATTTGATTTGATGGTCAATTATTAGTTTGGTATGATAATGCGTTATTTACATAATTGGATTTAAATGAGTTTGTTTTTCAGCAGTCCGTATTGGATTTATTAAAGGAAGGTAAAAAGACTAATTCCCTAAATGTAATTCATTTGACTTGAAAATTAAATTTCAGAATGAAAATTTCTTGTGAAACATTATATTTATTGAGATGAATAAATTCAAACAAAAATATAATTGGAGTTGTGATGGAAATATTACAAAGGTTCAACTCCAGACAGATCGGAATGGCTTGTAGAGTTATTACTATCCTCACTGGTACTATCGTTGTCACTATCACCTTGAACATTTCTAATAATTGTGTCTATTGTAAAATCAAGGGCAAGTTCCTTCGAAGCATAAAATTCATCGAAACGTTTAGCGTGTTCGCAATGTTTTTTCCATTGCTCTTGAGAAAACGATGTGAAAAATTCGTCACATTTTCAACAGATTTGAAATTGAAGTCCATATTTTTATCAGTCACATATTGTTTCAGCAATGCCCATACTGATTCTATTGGGTTCAAATCTGGATGATAAAGAGGCAATCATTATATCCATGATTTTCCATAATCCTATCAATTTCATAAAGCTTGAATTGTGGTTTATGGATTCAATAAAAAAATATAAATACATATAATAAAATAGAAATACCTTTCAGCATATAATTCGTAAAATGAATGTTTCGTCGTGTTAACCATTCTCAACTGAATATTGTGGTATAGTGCATTATCTACAAGCAAACCGCTTTTTCTGGAAGATTGGGAATCAACCACTTTTTGTAGTTGTAGTATTTCATTCCGCTATGATAGTGTTGGATTTGAATTTCATAAATGAATTTTTTGCCAATCTACACTCTCCTGCTGCATTTAAAATTATAAAAATCTGCCCTTTGGAAATTGGTGCATTTAAATCATCATTTCAACTCTTGTCATGTGTATGTGAAGCAAGGATATATGTTTCATCCATATAAATTATTGTTCGACCTTCTTCACGGTATTTCTTCATGTCTCTGAGAAAATTTCTTCGCAACTGCTAAATTGCCAGTTTCTCCAATAGCAATTTTCTACTTTTTTTTGTTTTCCTCCATGTGAACCCTATTTCTTTCCACTTTCCTCAAAGACACATCAGAATCCTCGTAACTATTTTTGTCAACAAATTTTTATGAATGCGGCTTAAGGTGGGAATTTTTTCTTAGAAATATAATAATTGATTATCAAAGTCTGATTTTGATGCTTTCCTAAGTATTTTTTTATTAGGCGTTGAAAAAGAGCATGATTCAACATTATCAATTGTTTTCATTTCACGAGCTATTTTTTCAATGCTACCCAAATCACAGATTGAATACAGATGCGAAAACTAGGCCTCCCGCCAGAACCTAGTTTTTATAGGCATGTGCAGTTACAGGTGGTTTTAATTTCACCTGACTTTTCACTTTCCACTCAACGTTCCTTTGTTATTGTTTACAACTTTTATTTCAGTAACTATTGGAATATAATAAAATTTGTGAATAGGTGAAATATATTTTATACAGGAGAATTTTTCGCAAAGGAGGAACAGTTTGTGTTGTTGGTGGTTGTTTTACAAAAACTGGGGAAAATACAAGGTTGATCAGAATTCAAGAGAATTCTACAAGATAGGTAAATGTTAATAATTTTCATTTCTCAGCATTATCTCAACGCAGTTTTTTGAACATTGTATTTATAATCATTTGGAAATGTCCCATGCAAATAAATTGATATTTTGTTAATGTTTCTTCAGGGCTGCTTGTTGGCTACGGTTATGTAACAGAGGATTTATTAGGTATCCATGCCTTGCATAGAAACTATAGGGTATGTGACAAATTTTGCCAAAGAAGTCATTTCTCAATCTGGAACTCGTAAAAATCTATTCCAAAATGCAGTTCAATCCATATTTCCTCACAGTGCCACTAAGCACTTCTTGGAAGTTATCAATGATGATAATTGCGAAGGACCTCCTAAGAAAATTGCTGTCTTGGATGGTGAGTACAATTTTGCATGTTCTTAGTACATATTTTATTGACGGATACGGATACCTACGTTGTGTCCCAAGTTTGTATATTGATTGTAATATCTTCTGCATTTCTAAATGATATTTTTTTATTTTTGGACATTACTAGTAACATCTTAGTAACATCGTCATGCACGCAGAAACCATAACTTCTTCTCCAGCTGCTACAGATATGTCAGTTATGTTTTTATGAAATATGAGGAAAGAAAACAATATCATTATTCTATGTAGGGTTAATTTGACTTCCTTAAAACTCATGTATTTCTTTACACACATGATGTATGTACCAGTTTAAAAAGAAATTAGGGTAAATCAAGAGTTTTCAAATTATATATCACTATATGAATGAATTACATAACAATTGTTTTCCAGTCCCAGGTCAGAGTTCTACACCTCCTTCAAGTTGTATTGTCTCTCCAACAACTGGTACTCAAACACAAGCATTTTTGAGCTGTGGAACTCCACGAAAGACGAAGTTGCGTGAGAAACTAAGAGCTATGACAAGGAAAAATTGCATGAAAACCTCCAGTCATGAGAGAGATCCGACTCTAGAGGACTTCAATGAGATGTATGACAAGTTTCTGAGTTTCAGGAATTGTCAAAACACAAGCCAACTTGAAGAAGTTAAATCCGTCAGCAAGAAGGTATTCCACCGAATACAAGCAATTTGCATTAACACTTCATTTTTTGGGGCATATCATTTCATGAGTGAATTGTTTTGTCTTCCAACAAAATGTTGTTTGGAGCAATTAACTCAAAAGCTCACATCAAAACCAGGTTTTCGAAATGAAGCAGTTTTCAAAACTCTGGAGATCAAATCAGGAAACATGTTAAATCAGGACAGGCCATACTGGTCGTGATGAGATTGTTGGGCTACTAGATATTGGAAAGGGCAGAAAAGAAATGTTACTCGATCAAAATGCTTGTGTTATTATGGTGAGAGGACTATATATTGATTGGAAGCAGCAAATAGCATATTTTTTTGTGAATACACAGTTTTCTGCCGTAGAACTACATTGTGTGATTGATGAGTGTATATCAAAATTGTTTACAGCTGGTTTTATTCAGTTATCTAATATTCTTGTTGTCACACCTAGTACTTCTGAGTTTCAAGTTAGTGACAGGAATATTATATATTTATTTGATACATGTCATTTGATCAAAGCCACGAGAAATAATTTGATGCAAAACGTTGTTTGTTTTGATGAAAAGAAAACATCATGGTCCTTCATAGACATGTTTTTCAGCAAGTTAAAAAACAAACATATAGATGTGGAGGTAAACTCACATCTTCACATATTTGTCCTACAAATTGAAAAATGAAGTGTTAATGCAAATTGTTTGTATTCGATGGAATACCTTCTTGCTGACGGATTTAATTTCTTCAATTCGGCTTGTGTTTTGACAATTCCTGATAAAGGTTTACTCATACCGGTTTCGGGCTCATTAGCCACTCATCAGTGCAAGATAGTGGCCAACATCGACCTGAAGTCAATGATATTCCATAATTATCTCTGTAATCAAATTTGTCAATATGCGAGTTTCTTTATTTCATTATAATGTACCACAAAAATACCATCACTTTTTCTGTGAACACCAAAAGCATGTTTTTTCAGTGTACATTAAGAGGAAATAGTTGAAATCAACCAAACCTTTTTCTCCGTGTATATCAAGGTGGTAATCACATCATATTCAAGGTTTTGAGCCATCGAAACATCAAAGGCGGCATCAAAGCTTTCGCATCTGTATTTATTCTGTGCCCAAAACTTAACCCGTCGCTTTCGCACAAAGTTCTTTAACTTTTTTCAGGTCCATGCTTATATGCCATTATCAGCTTCTCGTTGCATTAAAAAAGTACATTAGCAGTCACTTCTCTCGCTTGACCAAACGAAACTTTTCGTTTCAATTTTGATTCTAATTGCATTTTCTTATAGCACAGACTTTTGTCGCGTAGTATACTTCACCGAAGTAGACACTACAATATTTTCGTTAAGACAGAGCTCCGATCGTCTTTGAGTGTTTTCTCCCACACGCATCTTAGGGAAGGTCCTTAGCCGAGACTTTGAAGACTATTCCTATATTAGACAAGCCGTACTCATAGTCTTCGAAAATAATGACCTTAGAAATTTTTGGAAATTAGAAAGAATAAAAAAATTTTTAGCTGAACTGAATGACAAGACAAGTGTCATTGATGTATGAATGGCAGAAGGTGTTTTTAAGAAACCTGTTTCCAAATGAGGAAACGTTTCAATCGATGAATCATTCTGATATAGGTGATATCGATGATATTTTATTGAATAATTCTTTTTCGTGAAATCATAACAATGTTTGAAAAAAGTTAGTTGTCATAATGTCTTTTTGACAACAAAAACAACTTCTTCTTCGATAATATTCAAAATATTTCCAACAGTATTATTATTGAGGAAACCAGAAATCCATAGACAGTACTGAATTTTACAGTCGTAACGTCTTACCGCATATTAAACGTTACTAACGGCTGATGAAAAAATTTAGAGCAGAAAATCAAAAGATATCAGTCATTAAATTTTTATTATAGGTATTCTACAATACTGATTAACTGTATTGCTAGGAAGCGTTTCATTTTTGCATTTAATTATATAGTATACGAGATATACCTGTTATACTGTTTGGTTCTGAACTGTATACCAACAATATTCAATAATTTATTCAGAATCACATCAAAGTCACTTACATGTTATATCATTGGGTAGGATTATTTTTAAGTAAGTACAAGTCACTGATTTTTGTTAACAACTCATCCTTTTAGTTACTGTTTGGAAGATACAGTAATACAAGGTTTGATTCGATAATAATCTGTTTGAAGATACTTTATATTTATGATAAGAACTTTATGGAGACTTTTTATAATTTTTATTTCTAGTAAAATATAACAACTGAACTTGACAATATATAACTACACACACTATAGAAACATCGAATCAAAAACATATAAATATAATGTGGCTCAAATTCATTTTTGTTGTTAATCTCCAACATAATCTCCATTCATTCAGTGAAATTCTTTCATTCCATACACTTCAGAATCAAACAAAATTAATATACTAATTAATGATATAATGACTAACAAAATTCACAGAGAGATTTACATGTAAATTATTATTTGAAAAACAGTTACATTACCAGTATTCAATGCAAATTATGAGTAGAACAATCCGATAATATGTAGGTAAAGGTTACGCTGTTATCGAGTGAAAAATAATCTCTCCTGAACCTGAGTGAACTCTAATGTTAACACTGAATTTCACATAACCTGAATACCGCTGCCACAGTTAATACTTTTTTGTTTTATAATTGAAATTCGTAAATGACTGGGGTATATGTGAATACATATTAGAATATTAGAAATTGGATATTTGGTGTAATCGTCACATACAGTGCATTATTTCTTTAACCCTACAATGCATGATTTTTTAAAATAACATATCATGAACATATATGCTACATCATGAACTTAGATCTAAAACATAATATAAATCATATCTCTATTTTATTGATGGAAGTTAGCGAAACAATTTTTATTTCTATTGAAACAAAGATTGAGTTTTGCATTTTTCACAGAAAACAAAAGAAAACCCTTTGCAGCCAGGTGATTTACATCGCTGCCGAGTCTCACACCATATAGGAATGTGGCCAAAATTGTCAATTTTCACATCTTTCGGAGGAATCGAAGACGAATTTGTTTTTTTTTTCTTCAGTTCCAAATTTCGATCAACTGATGAAGAAGGTCTACCTTCTCTTTTTGAATTCTGACCAACGTTGCATAGGCAATTGGCAATTTCTCCACGGAATTTTTCCATTGTTATGGTATTTGTGTTTCCTTTTTGCTTTTCAACCCTGCGATATAGAAGCCACGCATTGATGATAGCAACATCAACTAAATGATAAAAAATTCTACAATACCATTTTCTGCTTCTCATCGAGATTTTGAAACGTCCCAAAATACTGTCCAAAAGGTCGACTCTGCCCAAATGTTTGTTATACTCTAATACTAAGTTTGGACACTGTATTGGGACTCTTTTCTTTTCTTTTTTATCAAATCTTTTTAGGTGTTGGACAGGAATAGACCCCAAGTATGTGGAAAGTAATGAAACCACTTTATTGTCTAACCGTAACACTGATGTGAAAGGAGCATCTTGAAAAGTGCTTACATAGTCTTCAAAAAAACCACGCGTCTTTTTTTTAAATGTAGCGTCATTGGAAAAATTGCAGTTGGGCAAACGATTCCTTTTTACTGTTCGAAAGAATACCTCTTCCATATAAGTATGCCATTAGAGGAACTCCAGTATAATAGTTATCAAAATAAACTATATAATTACATTTAGTGGGAATTGAGCGGCACAATCGTATGACTACGTTTGCTGAGGACCCTAAGTCTGGCTCATGTGAAAAACGATTTTTCTCATCATTTTCTTGACCAGAGTAAATTTTGCATATCTACATCAGCAGTTCCTGATCCTATAAATATGGGAAAACAAGAGGACGCCTCATTCTTGAACCACTTCGCGACTATCCAAGTTCGTCGATTTCTTGAATCATTTTTGTAACATTTTATACTTTATTGTAAATATTATATTCAATAAAGTTTGTTTTTAAAAATATAAATTCAGTGTGAACCACATAACATGCATTTAGGAGATAATCTTCAATAAATAAGGAGGTAGAATTGTTTATTATTTTAAAAGTAGCAGATATGCTACACGATGCATTGTAGGGTGAATGTCCCACCCCCTTTTATTTTTTGAACGGGTCAACTCAAAAAATTGAAATTTGGATTAATGAAATTAATGCATGAGTACTTCATTCTGAAGTAAAATTGACAGATAAAACTTTCAAGATGGCGACTGGGCGCTATCTGGGGAAAAAAATTGAATGGAAGCAGGGTCTTGTGACACATCATTTTGAATCTCCTGACGAATACTTCCCAATATGGTGGAGCATTTGATAATTACCTAAATATCGGTATTTCTAGAAATATTCCTTTTCATCTGCCATATGGCAATTCCAACAAACCGATAAGGTTTGTTCAGTTATTTTTTGTTTATAAAAACGGAAAAAAAAATGTCAGTACGACAATGAACATCATTGTTCAGTTAGAATATTCTCATTTAGTTTTCGGTTTTACTAGTAGAAAGGTACCACGTCAAAAATTTCTAAAATGATCAATTCTCGTCCAATGGAAGAAAAAATTGAAGCGATTTTTATTTACTGTGCGACGCGTAACTTTCACGAGACCGAAAGGAATTTCAATGAACATTTTCCGAATCGTCCTATCTGTAGAAAATAATTAGAGGGAACTTGTATCCAAATTCACAATACCAGTGCTGTACATAAGAAGAAGCCCCCAGGTCATCTGTCCATTCCGAAAGAACAGCAAGAGCAAATAATTGGTGAGATGGTAGTACATCCTGAACACTCTACTTATTCCGTCGCGAAATTTGTGGGGTGTCTCCTTCTACTGTGTGGAGACTTTTGAAGAGGAATAGGTATCATCCATACAAAATTAAAATGGTAGAGCAATTAACTGAAGATGACTCTGATCGAAGAACAGAATTCTGCGAAATCATGACGGAAACCATTGCAAGGCATCCTACCTATCTCCACA